TTGGCAAAGATACTGGAATGGTTTGCTATTTTCTTCTCCAGCTCATTTTACAGATGGGGAAACTGAAGCAAACAGGGTGAAGTGACTTGTCCAGGGTCACACAGCTACTAAGTGTCTGAGGCCGGATTTGAATTCAGGAAGATGAGTCTTCCTGACTCCAGGGCTGGCACTCTATCTACTGTGCCACCTGGCTGACCATTATATGACCCTACCCTTCATTTCATAAGGGTAATGAGAGGAAAAGAAAGCAAGAATTGACTATTCATGAAGAGAAGTGATGATTTCTTTCCCAGGTTAAAACACTTCAAAAGAATTGATGAATGCTCATTATAATTCTTAAAAACTTCAACTGTGTATCTATCATTTCCTCAGGCATTGCCAAAATTCAAAGAACATTAGTTGTCTCCACATCAATGTTAATCCACATCAGTAGTAATGAAAGATTCAAATTCATTCTCATTAAGGTGTGTGATAGTCTTAAACGGACTTATTAGAGCTGGAAGAACATAAACCCTTCTAACAGTCCTCATCATATTTATTTGATCTTACTTGGACCGGCAATGGCTACGTCTAGACACTCATTCATAATCACCTTTCTCCTACTATTCTAAGGACTTTCTAAAGATTCTTGATGATAACTTTTCCATCATTTTGCCTTAGTGATTTTATTTTCCCACAAGATGTTTGTCAGGTAACCTTTGGTCAGAAACCTAAGTGAAATCACCCACTTTTTCCTCTATTAAGTTTTATAGTCTATAGTAATTTTTTTCCCCTTTCATATTATTACAGCTAATTTGGGTGGTGTCAATCTAATTCAGATGGTAAACCCATTGGACAGGAACTAAATTTAGTTCTACCGATGCCTTTTGCATGGTTATTGCACAGTAAGTGTTCAAAAAGGAGCATGATTTCAATATGCTTTTCACAGGTACAGAGTGACATAATACGTACTACACCCCTTCCCCCCCCCAAAAAAAATTAGATGTGTATAGTAACAATTCAATATTACTGAAAGAGGTAAAGTAAAACTTTCAAATGTTATAAACCCATGGAAATAAGAGTCATATCTATAAAAGGCAAATGATTTTTAGCTACATCATATTATTTGATATCCAAAGTCAAGTCAATTCAATTCATTAGCATTTATTAAGTGTCTCTATGACAGGCTTTTTTTGTATTTCTGGTATTGATATGTCTTTACTCGAGGGCTAAATATTACAGGCAAAATTTTTTTTAATGTTGCTAAACCCCCAAGAAGGCCATTGTTAAGAAGTCCCCATACATGCTAACATATTTATTTATTTATTTTTTGGCAATTGGGGTTAAGTGACTTGCCCAGGGTCACACAGCTAGTAAGAGTCAAGTGTTTGGTCTGAGGTAAGATTTGAACTCAGGTCCTCCCAACTTCAGCGCCTGTGCTCTATCCACTCTGGCACCTAGCTGCCCCCATGCTAACATATTTACAGAAGCACTTTTAGGGGTAGAAAAGGATTGAAAACAAAGCATATGCCCATCAATTAAGAAATGGCTAAACGAATAGAGGTCCATGAATGGAATTGGATATTATTGTGCTATAAGAAACAACTAATACTATGACTACAGAGACACATGGGAAGATCTACTTGAACTGATCAAAAATGAAATAAACAGAGCTAAGAAACATATATAATGACTATAACAATGTAAATAGAAAGATAATCACTTGCACACACAAAATCAAAAGTGCTGAAATATTATAAAGAATAAGAATGGTTTTGAAGAAGTGATATTGGAGGATATCCTCACCTCATCCCTTTGCAGAGGCTGGTACATTCAATGCAATTTCAGATTTTTTCCTATATATTGATAAATTTGCTGAATTAATTTTTCTCTCTTAAATTTTTCTAATAGAAGATGACTGTCTTGGAGAAAGGGGAAAGAGAGAGATACAGTGGGAAATTTAGGCAATATAAAAACAAAAGACATTAATAAAAATCTCTTTTAAAGTGTCATTAATTATGTTTTTTCTTTTAAATATCTATATGCCAATATATAAGGCAGTTAGGTAGCACAGTGATAAAGCACTAGGCTTGGAATCAGGAAGACTCATCTTCATGAGCTGAAATCCAGCCTCAGACACTTACTAGCTGTGTGACCCTGGGCAAGTCACTTAACCCTGTTTACCTCTGTTTTCTCATCTGTAAAATGAACTGGAGAAGGAAATGGCAAACCATTACAGTATCTTTGCCAAGAAAACCCAGATGGGTTCACAAAGTATCAGACATGACTAAAAATGGCTGAAAACACATATATGTATATAGATACATGCATGTATAAACATATAAATACTCCCCTTTCGGGGGGGAGTGTATAGGGTGGGCTGTCTTGAATCAAGTCTATGGTTCTGATATTTTTGGGCTAACAATGGATATTTATATCACCCTTTACATTTACAAACACTACAATCTCATTTGGTGACTTGTCCCCAGTAAGGGTAGAAAAAGGCCTCACTACAGGCCTTCTATCTACTCATTCAGTGCACATTCTACATATTCTACATTGCCTCTAAATAAAATTCTGAGGGTCTGAATGGTACTTGAATGAATCTAGTCATCTTTGGAAAAGGGGGTGTTTTCATCGCAGTTTCTAACATCTTCAGTTCAATGATGGTTGTACAAAAGGACCCTGTTGATTTGATTTCACATGTGGTAGTTCATTACTGAATCAAAGTTACCATTTAACTTCATTCTTTGGATTTAAATACTGTGAGCTGATACAATCCTCCCACTCCCCCCCCCACACACATTTTAGGAGTTTGGAGATCAAAAGACCTCTAAGATTTGTTGCCACCATTATCAGGTTCCTAGCCTTCTTTATCTTCTACACCTTTCCCAGTTCTTTTGAGATAAATTCTTGCATGACCAGAAAAAAAAATGCTTAGGGCCCAATATTTGTATATGCTTGCCAGAGTTAATCTCTAAGACTTATAAACTTCTCTCATTTATAGACTTCAGACTGGAATCCAGGCAGTTTCTTTGTGATAAAGAACACCATTATCAAAGAATACAGTGAAACAATACAACTAATTTTCCTTCATGACTTCATTCTGATTTCGAGCGTGTCTCTCAGTGCTAGTAAGCCAGTCAGTCATTGCTAAAGCAATCTATCTCCCTCTCTATCATGCATAGCATCAAGATGAACTGTCAGAGACAGTGTGTACTGAATAATGAATAAATGAAAGTCTCCTGACACAGTTTTGACAGGCACAAAATATGAGTTTTGTGATTGCCATTAAATTCAAACACTGGGACTGGCTGAAAGAATATCACTTCTGAACTGAGAATTCTGTAAAGTAGGAAGTTTCTAGTTAGTCCTTTACTTTGCTTATTAGTCTGTGGGATGGGCATGAAGGGAATAAATTCATGTAAATCTCTACCGGTTTTTGAAGACCAGGCTTCTAACATTGTCCCTGTAATCAGCTACTCAAATGTGAACCAACACCAGTACAAATGGCCTGCCCAGATTCTAGGGGTCCTAATAAGTAAAATCTACCTTGTCCAAAAGATACTGCCCTTACTGAACCTTCCTTCCCCCAGGATGAATATAGTCAGGATGAATAAACTCTATAACTTTGCTGAACATGCACTAAAATTGATTAGATTATTTTCTTTAATAATCTGATGCTATACTATTTGTGTTTCTTTCACTCCACTCTATTAATAACAGTATTTCAGTGTAGTGAAAAAACAGACAAAGAATGAATTATTAATGTCTCCACCCACACCTGCTCAGTGTATGCACAACTAATTTTTAATTAATTTGAGAGAAAAAGTTAAATTATTTGATCCACTTTTTCTAAAATTAAATTGAGTTCAGTAAAATACTTTTTATATATTTTTGGAGAGAAAAATTTCCAATGACAAGGAACTAGTTTGATGGAAAATTTTGCCTGTTCACTGTCACATATCTGTCTATAAACACATAATGAGTCGGCGGTACCAAAAAGAGACAATTCAGGAATAAAAACATTAATCTGAGAAACAGAGTGGGTTTTATGGTCTAGATCATCTCAAATTCACCATGGCATTCTAGGATCAGTTGAAGGAATTAGAAAATTTAACCTAAAGAGGTGACTTAGGGGAAACATGATAAGGGGCTTCAGATATATGAAGAATCTTCACTTGTGAAAAGGATTAGATTTATTTGGCTTGGACCTTCAGGGTAGAAAATAAGACGAATAGGTAGAAGAGTTCTATGGAGGCAGATTTTGGCTCAACAGAAAGAAAAAAAAAAAGCTTTCTTAGATATGTCCAAAAACTGAATGAATGGGCTTTGCTGGGAATAATAAGTTTCCTATTACTGGAAGTCCTCAAATGGAGTGTCAAGTAAATTCTCTATGAACACTGGACAATGATTTCTTTCAGATGGTTTGTATATGAACTAGAATAGAAAACTCAATAGGTCTCTCCCAACTTAAAACTATGAATCTATAAATCATCAATGATTAATTACAGGCCAAAAATGACCTAAAAAATCACCAAAAGGATATATGACTGAGAAAGGAGGTAGACCAGTGATGCAGGCCAAATAAGGAATAAAGAGATAGATATCTTGTACATTGTAGTGGTATTCACAGATCAAGAAACTTCAAGGAAATTACTCAGCATGTAGGGTGGACCGGCTGTGGAGAATTTGTAGAACATAGATAACAGTCACATGGGATAAGAAGGCAGGATGAGCAGTGATCTACGTAGTCAGAAGACAGACTGCTATCAAAAAGGTCACATATCCATTCAAACGTTGAAAAAAAATGAATAAGTAACAACTACCCATGTCACATGGACTTTGTTTAACAAACAAAAAAAAGAATATGAATAATAATATTTATCTTATTTAGTGGATTATAAAACATTACTGTCAGTGATTACATGTCATGAATCTTCATTCTAAAAGATCAATATTGAAATAAAATCAGTTCAAAGCATTTTTCTTAACAAAGACTAAAGTTCAAAGACACTTACCTAACTTTTCAATGGAATAGTACCGTTGCTTGCTATCCACACGAACCGTCTCTGCGTAAGGGCTTCCCACACCATATCCAATGATGTACCCTCGGACAACAATGTTTGGGTTGAGTGGAGGGGTCCAACTCATTACAATGCTGGTGGTCAGGGGTCTGACATGAAGAGAACTTGGTTGGTCAGGAACTTGGGACTCTAGAATTTAAACAAATGACGTGTTAGTATGATTTGTATCCCTTTTCACTTCCTATGGATTTGATTTTTCTTTTCTCCATATATCCCACACCCCAGGCATTCAAATAGCTATCCCTGGTCACTGTATGAATCACACTTTGAGCAGGTGACTCACAATTTGTTTGGCCAATTTGACTTTGCCATGGTTTGATTTCTTTAGCAGCAAGAATACTGACTTATGTCCACAAACACTGCAACATCTGTTACCATCCTAATATGAAATGTTGCTGCCATATTGCTCGTGTTTTTCTTTCCAGATGTCATTAGCAATGGGAGAGTCTTGGCTGATGTCAAGGGACACAATGTAGATACTAGAAAGGGAGTGAAAGGCTGAAAATTTTCATGCCCCAAATGTTGTTTACTTTAGTTTAACTTAGAACAAGAATAAATATAGAAGCCTATTTTTTAAAGGATCTGTCAACAGAAACATTTCATGCAATGAATGGGTTGTCTTTATTAGTGCCACATATGATTAACAGCCTGAAGTGTCTGAAAAAATGTTTTCATTGCCAAAGCTACCCAAATTTTCTTTCTTCCATATCTTTGTCCAAAGTAAAAATTGTATACTTGTAATCTGTCAGATAGCAAAATGAAATGTTGTGGGTAAAAATGATTTTTGATCATTTCTGTGATGCCAAATCACAGATACCCTTACCCCTGATCCTCTCTACCCTTCCCTTACTACCACCTCTTCAACATGATTTATTTTTAATAAATAGATATAATTTTAGAGATAGATGGAAATATCTTTCAATGGAGTTGTTAATGAAGGTACCATAGCAATTGCTTCTCTCAAGAAGATATATAGTATCATGTTTTTTGGACAACAGAAAAAACATATTCTCTTCTTCCCCTAAAGAAGCTTGTGATATAATATGCAAAGACATCATAGAAAAGAAAATGACTCAAAACATGGCTATAAATGCCAACAGAAGACACACATTCTTTGTGAAGTATTCCCACTATAAACCTTGTGGAAAAGTAATAAAAGAGATGAAAAGGAAGGATTAATACTTTTCAATCGTACTATCACAGAAGGAACCCCAGTGTCCTTGGTACTTAATGGACTCTGCAATGAATTCCGTTGAGCACATTTTAAGCTTTTGGAGGAATAATTGAAACTGCAAGAGACTCTTCCTTGTGCTATACTTAGGAAATAAACTAAATGTTTTGCATTCACAATTTTCCTTTAGACAATACAAAAGCACAATTATTTAAATGACAATACTCAATGTCTTTCTGAACAGGAGGAAAAGTGTTTAAAGGCCTTTGTTTCCAGAAAAATAATAACCTACCTTCCTACCCTCCTGTACAACCATATCACCCTAGCAGTGCTCTGGCAATTTAAATTAGCACATTTGAATAGCATCCATTAGTACTTTCTGAATAGCAAAGGTAATCAGCCTATGCCCTAGATCTTTGCATACCTAAAGCATAGTAACAATTCTAATACCTCAAATATTCTCATTTGATCTTTATAACTAAACCCCTGTGAAGTAAACATGGAAAATATCACTAGCCTAATTTTCAAGTTGAGGAAATTGAAATATGGAAAGGATAACTGAATTTTCTATGCTCATATAACTAATTAGTAACAGAGCTGAGATTCAAAATCACATCACACAAGTCTTAATTTTAGGTTTATTCCTTTATATAATGCTGCCTCTGGATATTTTACTCAGATGAAGTATAAGCTTCTGGAAGGCAAGTGCAGATTCAGTTTTGTCATTCATTCATAGCACCTATCACAGTACTTTACATGCAGTAGATTAATAAAAGCATATTCACTGATTAGCTGAATATGACTAGAATCTCAGATTACTAGAATTGAATGGGGCCTCAGAACATAATCAGGCTAATCTCCTATATCATGTAGGAATTCCCCAAGTGTCATTCCTGACAGGTAGTGATAAAACCTTTATGTAAACATTGCTGGTATAAGAGAACTCTCTGTTACCTGCTGTATATCAGTGCATATGCATCAAACACTTCATATACATGTTTACAAATTAAAACTTCAAAATGTTGAGTATTTCACCTTAATTTCCATTTTCCCCTTCTAGCCCAAGGTGTTGTTGTTGTCCTTAGTTCTCCAACAGGACCAATGACATCAAAAAGGTCATGTCTTGACTTGCTGGTGAATTGAACTTAAGTGAGGCAGAGCTGTGTGAAGTCATCAGCTTCACTCTTTCCTCCAGTCATTGAAGTACAGTGGCAAGACAAAAATCAAGATGACTGGTGATGGCCCAGGATGCAGTGGGTAACCTTGGCCTAGGGCTTGAAAAAATGTTGAACTTCCAGAAATGATAGAAGCTAAGGCTTCTGGAATATATAACCTGTTCTTAAAGATCTCTGTTAGGGACTTTGGTGAATCCTGTATATTTTTTGGGTGGCCAATTCCCAACCATACATCTCAATCTCAAAACAAATAAACAAACAAATGATTTTCATTGGTAAGTTTTCTCAAAAAGTATTTATCTTTTAGATATTTAGATTATTCAAGTGGTTGCTACTGAAAAGATCTATAAAGAAGCAATTTAGAAAGTTGTTGGGAGAAAAAGAAAATTATATCTGAGCACCTCATGAGCTTGGACACACCCTGAAAGTAACTGTCTAAAAGTTAAACAACACAGGTCTAAATACAATCCTTATTTCTAAAGTAATTAAAAAACATAAAGACTACATGAAAATTGGAACCATCGAATTATGGAATTCTGGACTAAAGAACACTTTTGTTCAAAGTTATCTTTACAAATGATCTTTTCTCCTCAAAAAAAAGTCTCCTGAAAGAATTCATCAAGTAATTGTATTCAGTATATCCTCCTTCATAGTGCTCTGTGGGCATTTGGACTTCTCCATTTTGACCTGAAGAGATCTAAGACTTCTGTGTTATTTATCACTTTACTTGTTGACAGCCTTGCTGGTGTTATTCAAGTGATAACCATAGCCTTCTTTTCTTTCCAAGAATGCTCATATAAAGTATATTAGGTAATTGATTGACTTAAATTTCCTTGACCTTCTAAACTGCTCATGCAAAGTAATTGCAATATATACTTTACAGATTTTAATAAAACCAATGGTGATATTAGATCCTTAGCAGAAGAAAACAACACATAAAACATAGAGAACTGAGCTATTTAATGAAGTACAATTTTCTACTAGGATTCTGTACTGTATTATCTATTGCAGGCATTCTATACTTAGACTAGCCAACTTATTTTATGCAACTCACCCCATGCAGTTTTGTGGTAAGGGTTTTTGCATAGAAATTGGAAGGAATAAAAATGTGTTAAAGAAAGTCTGCTTCTCCTTTAATTTGTAGGCATGAAGTAGCCTGAAAGAATATTTTTTCTTAGTTCTTTGTAACTAAAATGATCACTCCTAGGACACCTTTTGCTATCTGTGATGCTGAAATGCAGAGCTGTCAGTTTTAACTGATACTCACATAGCCATTTTCCATTTAGTGTGCTGCATTTTATGGGCCATTATGTGAGAGTTTTGTTCCAGATCTTAATAGCCTATATTTCTCTACTGTGAATTGTATAAGGCAGTTGATCCACCTACACTCTATCTATCCAGTCAATTCAGAAATGTACTAATATCTTCATTTTTTTTTTCTAGAAAGACCTGCATCATTACTTTTTTCCACTTTCTTACCAATGGCCATTATTCCTCTTGGGTTACTAACCTCTAAAACCCCTTTAACCATTTCTGCAGTTCACTTAGCTTCTTCTATTCACAGTTGCCTATACCATATCCAATCATATTCTCCACCAGATCCACTCTTGACAATTTTTAGATATTAACTTTTTCACTAACAGCAAATGTTACCTTGACACTCTCTTAATATTCTCCAAATTCACTTTTGACAGTTTTTACATTTATTACTTTTTCACTCAAAGCATGTATTAATTTTTCCTAATCTCCACATAAATATATCTCAGTACTATGCTTATCTTTTTATATTTATTTCTCTATCTTTTGATTCTGTTTTACCTATAAATTTCATATTCACACCCAAAAAGAAGAAAAAAAATTTGTTGTAATGTAGAAAAAAGTTCAATAGGTCTTTGATCTGAATTTAATCTAAGATTATGATCACCATCTTTTAAAAGAACTTTCCTATTCTCAAACCTCTATTCTTGTGATATGTGACATTCAACCACTATTCCCATTAGAAATTTCTTCTTTAAGTAGTCTGTGAAACAAAATATTTGAGTACAAAGCATTTATTACTCATTATTCCACAATTGATTATCAATTTAGTAACATTTTTATCAACTAGTTGGATGAAGACATCAGTATCATATTTATCAAATTTGAAGATAATATCAAGTTGGGGGGGCAAGCTAACATATTTCATGGAAGAGTCAGGGTTCAAAAAAAACTCTATAGACAAACAATTGGACCAAAATTAATAAGATTTAGAATGTAAAGGAAAGAAATTGAAAAAAAATACACGTGGCTTCAAAAAAAATCAGCTTCCCAAGGACAAAACAACAGAGATGTGGTTAGACAGCATCAGTAAAACTATCTTAGTGTTTTAATGGGCTGGGACTTCAATGTAAATCCTGAGTGCAATATGTCAGCCAAAAAAATAAACAAACAAACAAAACCCCAAAAAACAACACGTTATCTAAGCCTACATTAAAAGGGTCATGATATCCAGGAAAATGGTGACATCAGTCCCACAGTATGCTGTCATGATAAGATCTCATATAGAACATTGTTTCAGTGTTGGGTATGACATTTTAGGAAAGACATTGATAAACTGGATGATATCAGAAGGAAGAAGACAAGATGACTAGAACAGTCGAGGGCCTCAAGGTCATGGCACATGATGTTTAGTTCATGAGTCTGGCGATCTTTACCCTAGATCAAAGAAGACTTAGTGGGGACATTATAGATGCCTTCAATATAGTTCAAGAATTGTCATGTGGAAGAGTTGAACCTAAAAGGGA